GGGGGGGGGGGGGGGGGGGGGGGGGGGGGGGGGGTGTGCTAGCAAGTAGAAAGAATTAAACTGGAGAAACTAGGAAAAGTTAAGAGTTAACCTGAGCTATAAGAGGTGAGCCAAAAGGACAGGTTCCAGACTACACCAATCCATGATGGAAAAGTGCGTCCAATGCAAATCAACTACAACTTAAGCCATGTGTTTATCATTTGCCTCCTTTAATCTCTGCTAAATTTCCAGCCAGCGAACTAACCGATTGAAGCAGTTAGAAAAATTAGCAGCAATGGTTGTGGATCCTGGAAGCGCTTTCTGGACGTTCTCAGCAGCAAGAAGCAGGGAACGAGCGCAGATAACGTGAAATCTGACGTCAAGCAAGGCTGTTATTCGAAAGGTTGAGTTTTCCATCTAGAGGGCGCAAACACCGGTCGCGAAAACTTCAGACGTAACAGACTTGCTTAAAACAAGATGTACAAAGGATCAGTGAAGCTAACTGCTTGGCCCAGTACCTCCCTTCCTCAGCTCGAACTAACCCCAATTTACAACAACAGGACGCTGGCAGTTGTTTTTTGTGCGTGTGCGTTACGACCGAGCTGCACAATGTCTTCCTTTTAACAACTTTAAAACAAAAAAAAAAAGTCCTGACCGCACCATGAGCAATTAAATAATGAACCTGGCGCTGCTGCTGATGCCGTGCTCGCCTCTCTTCACGGATCGCTTCTTGATAGCCTTCGCGGATTTGTTCGGTTACAAACAGAACAATTTTTGTCCAGGCGGTTTGAGTGATTTCATTTCGATCCTTCTTTTCGCCCCATTCCAGGGTCCGTTGGATCATGGCCGATGCGAAATGTTCAAAATGCGCCAACCGAAAAGGGCAGCCGCCGGACGCAACTTCAGCATTATTATCGTTACTACCCATTCGATCAACTAAATGCGTTAGATTCTGTTAAGAATTTTTTGAATCACTATAAAACTGCGCCCACAACAGGACCGATGAGGTTCAGTTTTTTTGAATCATTAACTCAGAAATCTCAAAAATCCTAACTGAGATAACCGCCGATCCAAAACGATTAAATTTCGAGCTTTAAGGATTTAATCTACAGCTGGCGCAATCGTGCGTTTTTTCAATTTTCTGCCGCAATTGCTCCGAACATGCTTTTTCAGACGAAACACTCGTTCTTGATCCCAGTCCATCAGGTTTTAATCCATGCAATAGGTTCTTGAATACTAATAACACGGTGTCGAATGCAGCCGAGAACGGTGATTTTCTCTAACTGCTTACTCAAAACTGTCCAAGTGGATTGGGAAAAACGGTAGCGAATTCATATGTATGTATGTGTGTGTGCGTGTTTGTGCGTGTATGTGTGTGTGTGTGTGTG